GTCTCATCTCCTCCAACTAAACTGGGAGCTCCTTGAAGGTAGGGTAGATATCTTTTATCTTCTCACAGTGCCTAGGGTGGACAATAAATGTTGATGAATTCAAGCCACCTGGCCTAAGTCAACTACGTCTTTAGAGATTAAAAGAACTAGTGGACCTGATTGCTGAGCTATTGTTAGTGATATCTGAAAGGTTTAGGAAGCCTGAGAAAGGTCCTGCAGGACCAGAGAAAGGGAAATATTGCTTCATCATTCCCTCTACCAAGGCTTTGGGCACCTTTTCTGCAACTTAGGGTCTTAGAGAGTTGTCTAGAGCACTGAGGAGGTAAGGAACTTCCCAGGGTCACACAGACGTGAGATGTTAGAGGCCAGTCTTCCTGGCTTCAAGATCAACTTTCTATCCACTACCATAGTGCCATCTAAGCGAAATATGTTAGGGATAAATGTAAAATCTTACCCTTGGGTTCGTAAGTTCAACTTTACAAGTCCAAGATGGGGAGGTGTAATTGAAAAGCATTTCGTGTGAAAGAGATCTGTGAGTTTTAGTGGACTTTAAGCTCAAAATGAATTGAGTGCTATGTGGTGGCCACAGAAGTTGATACGTTGGGCTGTCGTTTCCAGGATTAAGGAGGGGATTGGTTCTAACCCTTGATCAGATCATGTCTGAAGCATTGGGCTCAGTTCTGGGCACCAGGGTTTAGGAAGGATATTGCTAACCTGGAGAGTACCCAGAAGAGAGCAAACCAGGGTGGTGAAGGGCTTCAAGTCTATAGCATGTGAATGGTTGAAGGGACTGGAGATGCTTAGCTTGAGAAGAGAAGCCTGAGGGATGGAAATGGGAACCTGATAGCTGTCTTCAAGTATTTGATAGGCTGCCATGTAGAAGAGGGATTGCATCTGTTCTGTTTGTCCTGAGAGGAAACAAGGGCAATGCTGAAAAGATGCTAATTTAAGCTTGGTGGAAGTAGAAACTTCCTAACCACGAAAGGTATCTAGAAATGGAATAGGATGCCTGGGAAAGATATCACTTCCCACACATTGGAAGTCTCCAAGTAACACGTGTTGGGTAATCCTACTTAATATTAACAGCTAGCATTTACGTAGCACTTTGTAAAGCACTTTACAAATATTATCTCATTTGATCCTCACAACAGCCCTGGGAGGTAGTTGTTGTTATTACTCCCATTTTACAAATAAGGAAACTGAGGCAGACAGAGTTTAATTGACTTACCCAGAGCCACACAGTTAGTAAGTGTCTGAGGCTGGATTTGAACTCGTCTTCCTGAGTCTAGATCCAGTGTTCCATCTGATGTGTGACCTACCTAACTTTTTTTTTTGGGGGGAGGAGGTAAATGTTTGACTAGATGATTACTAAAGTTTCTTCAAACTCTGAAATACTCTGCTTCATTGACTGCTTGGGTCTTTGTTTTGAGTTCTCTGGTTTGGCCCCAGATTATAAGGAGATGCAGTCTCAGCAAAAGTGTCAGGGAGATGAGGTTGGTTTTCGGGACAACATCCTGATGACACAATCAGAGTATCTCTGAGTTGGAAAGCATCTTGGTAGTCATCTAGTCTACCCAACTTCCCAACAGGAATCCTCAGTACAACATTCGCAAACAAACAGTCGTTTAGCCTCTGCTCAGGAGACATCTCACTAATGGAAAATCCACAGTTTTCTGAGGCAGCCCAACCCACTTTTGGATGGCTGTAATTGATAGAAAGTTTTTTACCCTGACATCCTGACAAAATCTACTTCTCCATAACTACCACATATAGCTTCTAACTCTGCTCTTTGAGACCATCTCCCTTTCAATGGCTATCTCTCCCTATGTCCTCCCCCAGCCACATGATGTCAACTACCCTGGGCCTCTCTTTGAGAGCATTCCCCTGCAGGGAGCCTGATCTACTTGGAAAGACTCATTTCTCATCCAGAGGGAAAGACCTCCAGACCTTTCTCCTATGAACTGCCCTGGGAAGTTCTGAGTACTTTGTTGACTTCTGAGAGTTTCCCTTTAAAAGTGACTTTCATGGACTAGGGGGCTGGAGAGGGTCCCCAAGACAATGCCATGGGTGGCATTAGTTGAAGGATCTAGGGATGTTTTATTTGGATAAAAGACCGAGGGAGACATATGATAGGGAGTATACTTGTTCTAGGTGGCTCCTAAGGTCAGAGTTAGTATCATTGGGGTCAAGTTACAGGGAGGCAAATTTCAGCTTCATAAAAAAAAAGCCCAACTAGAGTCATAATGCAAATAGAAAAAGCTGCTATGTTTGGTAGTGAGCTCCCTGACAGGGATACCTCAGGCAGAGGTTCTTAACCTTGTGTCACAGACCCCTCAGGCAATCTGGTTAAGCCCATGGACCCCTTCTCAGAATAATGCATAAAATAAATGCATAAATTGCTTAAACGCGTAAAATAAAACACATAGAATCACAAAGAAAATCAGTTATAACAAAATAATTTCCTAAAATTAGAAAAAAACCCAAATTCATGGACCCCAGATTAAGAATCCTTTCCAGAGATTAGAATAGATGATCTCAAAGGTCCCTTTCAGTTCCAAGATTCTTTCATTCTGTATTTGAAATTTATCCAGCCCATGTCCTACTCCAGTTAAGGACATTTTTATATGCTTCATATCTATTTCTAGGGTCCCAGAATTTCTTGCCTCTGAAAATATAGTTCCTGGAAAGTCCCAAGAATTTTCCTAACCTTCTGCCTGGAAGTAGTGCAATCCAGGACCCCACTACCCAGGTTCCCTACTCTGGCCTTAATGCAATTGCCTTCTTCCTGGTTCGCAAAAAGTGACAGATTGAAGAAATCTGGTCTGATAGGTCTCCTCCATAGCCCAGGAGATAGGCCTCCAGATCCCTGGGGTGGAAAACAGGCCAGGGACAAAAACAACGTTATATCTTTGAGTCAGATGGCAGCAGAACCCAGACTAGAACCCAGGAGTCCAGGCACCAGTTTCTTGCCACAAATCCTAGATCATACTCCCGTATCCCAGGAGGGAGAAATAACATGTCATTTTCACAGCTGTAAAGTTAGAGCCTCCTTATTCTCCTACTTTGAAAGGAAATTGGATTCATTGGCAGCTTTTGATTCCTGCCTAAGTAATATGTGTGTACTTGAAGTATAGAGAGGATTGAATAGGAGACCCCAAACATAAGCTAATTAAAGTGCTTTGAAGATCAGAAGTGATTCGCAAGTCCCTGGTACATTCCTAATAACCTGTAATAATATAATGTACTCATAGGTCCTAGTTTTCATATTCTAGACATGCCAGCCACTTCATGAAGCCACATGCTAGTTCCCAAGAATGATGGCCTCTGTCCCACAAATACAGCAGCATGGAAGAGGCAGCAGACCTTAGGGTGAACCAGCAAGCCCAGGACCCAGCATGGTCATAAACCAGGCATCCTTCTCCTAGCAAATGCAACAGAATTAGTTCCAACTCCTTATGTGCTCCAGGGGGGCAGATTTATGAAAGACATTTAATTAATCAATCAACTACTCATTGAACATAGTAGTTAAACTATACCTAGGTTCTGGGGAAGATAACAATTGAGCACAAATAACATTCTTTTCATGCTAATAATATTTATATTATTTATATAATATATAATATTGTATTATATGTAAAAATATATAGTATAAAGTACCCTAAATACATTATCTTCTCTGAGCTTTACAATCACTTTGTCCTGTAAGTGTTACTGTCTCCATTGTACAGATGAGGAAACTGAGGCTTAGAGATTGAGTTGCCCAGGGTCACATAGCAATCATCTGAGGAGGGATTTGAACTCAAATCTTCATAGTCCTAAGTCTAGCCCTCTCTCCACTCCACCACACTGTCTCGCAGAATTAGATGACCTAAAAATCATCCAGAAGGCATCCAATCGGGGAGCAGCTAGGTGGCACAGTGGATAGAGAGCCGGCCCTGAAGTCAGGAGGACCTGATTTCAAATCCAGCCTCAGACCAAACACTTGACACTTACTAGCTGTGTGACCCTGGGCAAGTCACTTAACCCCAACTGCCTAAAAAAAAAGAAGGCATCCAATCGGTCATCTAGTGTCCTTGAACAGCTCCAAGGATATGGCTCCCACTGCAACCCAAGATGATTCATTTCTTTTTGGGATATGTTTTTCTTGTCTTAAGGGGAAATCTACAGTGTTTTAGTTTCCATCCGTTGTTTTTATTATTCATGGTTGCTTTCAGCCTGGCATAGTGGAGAATGTGCTGATTTGGGAGTCTGAAGAGCTGGGTTCAAATGATAACTCTGTCACTGATTTCCTGTTTAACCTTGGGTAATCACGTTCACTCTTCAGGCCTTAATTTCTTCCGGTGTTAACCTGAAAGGTTTAATTAGATGATTGTGCTCAGAGTCCTTTTGGCTCAAAATCCTATTTTCCTTGTGCAGGAAGGTACCTTATAATCCTATGAAGTGAGAATAAAGGGCCATTTTCTGATTACCACAGTGGATAATAAACTTCAGGAGTCATTATCACAAGAGGTATCCTAGGCAAGAATTAGAAATGAATCCCTCAAGAGATGGGTCCCATTTCTGCTCCTGCTTCACAGGATTTCTGTGAGTATCTAATAAGATCATACATGTCTAGTGCTTTGTGAACCTTAAAGCACTATAGAAATGTTATTCTTATTTCTGAAGAGGACAGACACATGTGTACTGAGAGAAACTAGGACTGACCTAACCTTTGCTTCTGATGGCCAGTAGTCGGACAACCCTCTCGATCTGCCTAGAGAGCTGGTCCTTCAAGGCCTCAGTTGGCAGGCAGCAGGATCCTGGGTTGGTGGGACCCCAAGTCAAAGTCATGGAAGCCAAGCCTGTATTATCTGTCAGGCTGGGGACAGTCCATGTGAAATTTTGAACTCTTTCTCTCCCATTGATAGAAGGTACATTCTTTGGCAAAAGGGTGGCCTTCAGAAGTAAGACAAGCTTGATTGGCTAATTATGAACATACAATCAAACACTATTCCAGGAAATAAAGAAACTCTATCCACGGTAGTCTTTTATTATTATTATGGTTATTATTATTATGGTTGTATTTTCTACTCTATCCTCCCCCATGCCCCCTTGTAGACCACTTCTGTCTGCTATAGGAACAGGAAACAAAGCCTGGCTGAGCTGCAGCCCAGGAGAGTGAACAACAATCACAGAATGCCAGGACATTCAGTGGCATTACTTGGGGAAATCAGCAGCGACACTGAGAGACGCTTCACATTAATGACAGCTGCTTAGTCTATTTGGCAGTGACCTTGCTCTGCAGACGATGATATTCCTTTAGCCTGTAAACCAGATTAAAAACAAAAAGAGGTAAATTGACAGTAATAACACATATTCAGTTCAATTAATTCAGGTGGAGCTGGGGGCAGCTGTTTGTTAAGATGTAGGTGAAGTTGTCTTTCTTTTTCCCCCTCCTCCTGTGCCCTCTCTCCTCCCTTCCCCTCGATAATGTAATTAATTTATCTTTGGGAGAAAACAGTTCATGTTATTGTTCAGTACAAAGCAGTTAACTGGCAATGGAAAATGAAGAGGCCATTATGAAAATATGTCTTGCTTGCTGCAATTTAAAAGGGCTTATCAGGCCCTTATAAAAACACACAATTAAGGGGACAGTGAGGGGGAGGTTGGGAGGGAAGGATGCTCCCAGGGTCAGCCTGGCAATTCTAGGCTCAATATAGCCCCTGGTTCAAATGGGCCAAGGAAACCCTAACTGTCTGTGGTCAGTCCTGGAAAGGATGAGCAAAAGGAGGCAGAGGGATGTCTGGAGAGGGAATACAATATAATAATACATTGCTTATGGGCATGGACTGGGTGGGGGGCATTGTGGTTCTTCTTCCCCACTTCAGAGTCTGTGAGAAGATATGCAGGTGTCTTTTCCTACCTTAGAAACAGCCCTGACCCAACTCTCCCTTTTGCTTTAAGTTCTCTCTTCATATTGTGAAGGGGGTGGTGAATGGGAGGTTGAGGGAGAGGTACAGCAAAAAGGGTTCTGTTCTGGGAGTCAGAAGACTCAGGCCCATTATAAGAGGACTGGTTTTAGAGTCTGAAGACCTGGGTTCAAATCCCACCTCTGATAACCCGCTAGCTGTGTGACCTTCACCAAGTTGTTTATTCTTCTTGGGTGCCTCAGTTTCCTCATCTGCAAATCAAGATGGCCTCTGAGGTCGCAATCCAGAGATTGAGGATCCTAGGATTCTATGGTCCTAAGATACATAGCCAAGTTTGGAGATTCTCATTATCAGTTTGGCCATGAGATGGTGAATTTTTCAGCCACAAAGTCATAGAGGTTATGATGGATATTAGTGGAGGGAGTCACCGCTTAGGGGGAAAAAAATCATAGTTCCCTGATCTATGGATATCTTCTAGACATGACCATAAAAGTTGGATCAGACCCTGTGATTTCAATGGTCTAGGGCAGAAGTGTTAAAGCTTGAGGCCCAGGTAGTGCCTGAATCTGATTAAAATGTAATTGGGAAACGTTTAACAAAATAAACAAAAATGCAATACAACATAAATAATGCTTATTTGTGGTTTTCTAAGTCAATATGTGGCCCGCATGGATCCATTTCTATTTGAGTTTGTCACCGTTGGTTTAGAGAACAGTCAGTGAGGAAGCTCCGTCTACCAATGAAGACTGGCACAGGCTTCTAATCTTAAAGTTGCCTGGGACATTGAGAAGTGATACGCTCAGTCACACAGCCAGTAAGTGTCAAAAGGTAGGACCCGAGCCCAGGACTTCCTGACTCTAGAACCAGCTTTCATTTGATTGTCTTGCAGTGGGATAACTTTCTGTAGGCCTATCTCTTTCCTAACTTTGCTATCGGCTCCCCTTGGGCAGGAAGCAGTTCTCTTCTTCGTCTCTGTCTCCCACGCTGCCTCACACAGAGCAACAAGACTGTCAGTGCTCACTAACTGATCTCTTTCAGATGCTTCTCCATGAAGTTGCTCCTCAGAGCCACTGAGCGCACGGAAAAACTGGTGTAAAATAAACATATGTTCTTCTTCTCTCTCCTGCCCACCTTGGGGAAGAGTGTTCCTAGGCCCCAGGGAGCTGAGTCATGTTAAAACCAACAGCCCATTTTTGTTGTTCAGCGGTTGTAATCATATCCAACTCTTTGTGACCCCACTGGGGGTTTTCTTGGCAAAGATACTGAGGTGGTTTGCCATTTCCTTCTCCAGCTCATTTTACAGATGAGGAGACTGAGGCAGAGTTAAGTGACTTTCCCAGGGTCACACAGCCAGTAAGTATCTGAGGCAGATTTGAACTCAGGAAGATGAGTCTTCCTGACTTCAGGCCTGGTATTCTGCCCACTATGCCACCTAGTTGCCCCATATCTCTCTACCACTTCCTACTCCCTCCAACCTCCAAGTGCTGAAGACACTGATGAATACATAGGAGGTGCTCAGTGAATCTGTGCTGTTGAGGGATGGATGGAAGGGATCTTGAGTGAGGGCAGAGGCCCATTTTCCCTCCTGATTTTGTAGGGACTGGTGATCAGAGACTAATGGTCCAGGCTGAGGAAAGTTGTGGACCAGCCCCACAAGAGGCCCTAAGCTCTGCTCCCTCCTGGGCTAGGACTGGCCTAAACTACTCACCTGAGGGAGTTGATGTTGATGAAGCCAGTGGCATCGGCAGGCTCATAGTCTCCCTGCACATTCATGCTACAAGAGAAAAGAAGAGAGGAGTGTGTGTGGGGGGGGAATCAGAACATCAGACATCCGCATCACCCCCCCAGGCTCAGCCCCAGACTGTGCAGTCCAGGATCCTACCTCTGACAGAGGTTTTGTTGGGGTTCAGTCTTTTTTCAGTTGTGTCTGACTCTTTATGACCCATTGGGAGTTTTCTTGGCAGAGATACTAGAGTGGTTTGCCATTTCCTTCTCCAGGTCATTTTACAGATGAGGAAATTGTGACAGTGTTAAGTGACTTGTCCAGGGTCACACAGATAGTAACCATCTGATGGAGGTAGTTGATGACAACACAATCATTTTCCATTTTGTAAGGCTCACAGGTCAGACACGTGTCCCAATAAGCAAGCAATCAAAAATATTTATTAAACAGTTATTATGTGCTAGCTCTTGGGAATCCGAAGGAAAAAAAGAAGCCAGTCCTTGCTCTAGTGATCCAGACAACACATACATGAATAATAACAGCTGACATTTACACAGTGCTTTAAGGTTTACAAAGCACTTCACACTCTTCTCATCTAATCCTCACAACAACCCTAGGAGGTGCTATTATTATCCCTATTGTACCGTGAAGAAACTGAGGCTAGAGGAGGTTAAATGACTTGACCAGGGATGCCAAACTAGTAAGCACCTGAGGTAGGAATTTGAACTCAAGTTTTCCTGACTCCAAGTCTACCACTCTATCCACGATGGCATTTAACTGTCTAGATCACATCTAAGGTACAAACAAATAACAACAATAATAGCTAGAATTTATATGATGCTTTAACATTTGTAAAGCACTTTGAATATACATACATACATATATACATACATATATATATATATATGTACGTATATATTCTTTCTTTCTTTCTTTATTTGTTTGTTTGTTTTTGGCGAGGCAATGGGGTTAAGTGACTTGCCCAGAATCACACAGCTAACAAGTGTTATATGTCTGAGGCTGGATTTGAACTCTGGTGCTACTGACTCCAGGTCCCATGTTCTATCTACCATGCTGCCTAGCTGACCACAAACAGAAAGTATAATCTTCCCTCGTGACTCGCTCCGGAAGTAGCTATCATCCAGGGAAGTAGTTAAGCTTTCTTGAAACTATTTTCACTGACATTGTACAGACTCTACCTCTGGAGGTAATAGTTTTCATAAATTGAATCCCGATTATATAAAGGGAATGATGTGGTATAATTAGAAGAAGCCCTAAAAGTCAGGATTCCCAGGTTTCAACTTTGTCACTAATTTGCCGTATGACCTTGGGGAAATGAGATAATATATGCATAAGCATTCTGAAAACTATAAAGTACTCTACAAATGTAAGGACTAATTATTGAATATGATGGCCTTGGCCCTTTGTTTGTCCTAAAACTCTCTCTTCAAATTTCAAGTGTGTGTGTGTGTGTGTGTGTGTGTGTGTGTGTGTGTGTGTGCGCGCGCGCGCATATGCATGTGTGTGTGCATGTGTGTATGTGTGTGTGTGTGTGTGTTTTGGGGGCTGGAGAAAAGCAAATAATTCTCCTTTCTGGGATTAGGTGAACAAGGTGCCCTCACCTGCTCCATTTTTCATGATTTTGTTATTTCTATCTTTCCAGAAAGAAAGCGTACTAAGGTTATTTTTATTCAGTCATCCCTCATTTTCACCTCTTTGATTCACAAATATTCTTTGGAAGGAAAGAAACAAGCATTTATTAAGTGCCCACAAGGGGCCAGGCCCTGGGCTAAGCATTTTACAAATATTATCTCATTTGATCCTCACAGGAAATCTGGGAGGCAGGTACTGTTATCCCCATTTTACAGCTGAGGAAATTGAGGCAAACAGGTTAAGTGAGTTGCCCAGGGTCCCACAGCTAGTAAGTATCTGAGGCCACACCTGAACTCAGGTCTTGTAGGCCCAGTGCTCTATCCATAGTGCCACCAGCTATCTCCTAGGTGCATTGTTGGCCTTCCTCCAAGTTGGAGGCATTCCAGATGTGTAAGAAGCCTGTGTCTCAGGGGCTGCTAGGTGGTGCAATGGATAGAGCTCTGGCCTTGGAGTCAGGAGGACCTGAGTTCACATCTGGCCTCAGATATTTGACACTAGCTGTGTGACCCTGATTGCTTCACCCAAAAAAAGAAGCCTGTGTCTCAAGGCTAGAGGGCCCTTTAACAGTGCCTGGCATAGAGTAAATTCTTAATAAATGCTTTATTTTTATCTAGGGGGAGTAGTGGAAGGCGCCTAACTCCTTTTCTTCTCTTGTGTTTACTTACATATAACTACCCTTCATCCGTCTTAGACTGTAAGCTTCTTGAAGGCAAGGGGACTATGGTGTCATGTGAATCCATACTTTGCACATTCTTTTTTGGAATAGACCTATCATTCCAGTGATGCAGAGAGCTCCTTCCTCTCCCAATGCAGGTGGATCCCTTTTCCTGTAACTTACAGTCCTAAAAGGGCAGCTAGGTAGAGCAAGTCACTTAACCCCATTTGCCTCCACAAACAAAACAAAAGAAAAAAAAGAACTTACAGTCTTAAAAAAAAACAACAGAGTTATCAGTTCTTTCTTTGGAAAGACAGAGTCAAGAGAAGGAAAGAAAATGAGCAACCACATTCCTCACACTCCCCAATTATTTCCCTTCTTCCCCTTTGCACTGTCCTCCTTCCCTCCCATCTCCCACCATAGTTACTGTCTCTAGAAGCCTCTTTCCCAGGCTCTCAGGCTGTGCTGTTTACTTGACTTATGCTGAAGTAATTATGTAGGGTGGTTTTTGTTTATCTGATCTCTGAATCAGTCTGGACCTCCCCTCAACTTTCATTCTGCTTCCTGGGCCACTCCAAACCCCAACCACAGACCTCTTGCCTGTTTGCCCTTTGGCCTCACTTCCATACCTAATGTGATTTGGGGACCCAGCAAGTCCCCCATTCTCTATAAAACTGTTTTCTAGTCCAGCCACTCCTTAACTACTCCCTTCCTTCCTCTCTCCTCATTCCATCATCATTCCATGCCTCCCCTTTCCTCAACTCCACCTATTAAATGCCAGTAGATAGGTCTCTATAGAGCAATTTCCCCATTTGCAGGAAAATGGTTTCCTCAGTTATAAAGAAACAGCTCCATCTAAGTGGCTTGCCCAGGCTCATATAATGGCAGTCTCAGATTTAAACCCAAGCCCTGTCTCCAAAGCCACTATTTTTGCCTCTATGTGATGTCTGCTTCAGGGTCTCTGGAGGTCCTCTGTAAATTCTATGACCATGACTGGATGTGCATGTATGTACGTATGTATGTGCTGGCAGCTAGGGAAAAGCGAATAATTCTCCTTTCTGGGATTAGGCATTGAAACTGTCACTGAAACATCACTGTGACCATCACTTACATTGCTTTCTGACTTCTTCATAACAATGATAAATGTCATTAGTCTCAGGAATCTTCTTTGATTATGCTTCTGCCTTTGGCACCAATATATCTTCATGATCCACTGAAGGATTATAGGTGGAAGGACCCAGAGCTGACTTCTGGTACCTTTGCTCTTAAGCTCAGTGGGAACCAAGTGAAGGTTTAAGAAGCTAGGAGTTAAGGTGATTTGTATGAAGTGATGCAAAACAGAGTAAGAAGAGCCGAGAGAAGGATTTGCACAATCACCACAATAGTGAAAAGGAAAACAATATTGGGAGACTTTAGAACTGCAATCAACACACTGACCTGAGGTGGTGGACTATGGGTGCAGAATGAGGCATACATTTTCTTCCCTTTTTTTTTTTTGGCTAGGCAATGGGGTTAAGTGACTTGCCCAGGGTCACACAGCTAGTAAGTGTTATATGTCTGAGGCCAGATTTGAACTTGAGTCCTCCTGAATCCAGGGCCGGTGCTCTAACCACTGCACCACCTAGCTGCCCCAAGGCATACATTTTCAAACACAATGTCTTGATTTGCTTTGCTTTGCTGGACTGCATTCATTTGTTTCAAGGGAGGATTCCCTTGTGGCGGTGATAGGGAGGGATTCACTGACAGGTGGCTTGGGGCAGTGGTTTAAAGAAGGCTGACTCTCTTTGGTTGTCATTGCCCAGTTATTTGGTGTCTAAGTGAAGCTAATAAGAGGCTTTGCTTACTCATTGGAAAAAAAAGAAGAGACTTTGTCCCATATTCCTTTGCATCCCTCATGGCAGCCAGCGCAGAAGAGGCACTCAACACATCGCAGGATTTAGAGCTGCAAAGACCCTTAGAGATCACACAGCTCAAAACTCTCATTTTAAAGATAAGGAAACCGAGGCCCAGGCCAGTAATGTAACTCGTCCAAAGTCACAATGGGGCTAAGAAGCAGAGCTGGAATTTGAAAGTCTGGCCCTCTGACTCCCAATCCGGCGCATCCATCCAATCAGTTGCCAACTCTTGCCCTTTCTCCCTCCACATCTCTCGTTTCCTCTCCCTTCTCCCTAATCACATAGATACCACTTTAGAGAGGCTCTCGTAACCTCTTGGCTAGATGACTGTGACTGCTTCCTCTCTGGTCCTCCTGTCTCTAGGCTCTCCCCACTCCAGCCCATTCTCCATGCTGCAGCCAAGGTGATGTTCCTTAAGCTCAGATCTGACCATGTGGCTCCCCTGCTCAGCTTCCTAGTGCCTCTGGGATAAAAACAGAAACTTCTCCATTTATCTTTTAAAGCTATCCACAACCTGAGTCCAACTGACTTTACTAGCCTAACTGGACATCACAGCTGGGTCCTGAGTAGTGCAAATGATGAAATCCTCTGAAGTCATCAAATGTGTTTGAATCTCACTATTAGAAGTTATAATTATGTAAAATATAGTCATTGGCTCCAGCCCAGTGGAAATGTGCAGTATGAATTTGAATGATGAGACCACTTCAGGGAATTCACTATTTTCACTAATAGAGACTCAGCTGTACTCCCCCATCTTGTACTGTGTGACCCAGTCAAACTGGCTTCCTCTCTCTACCTATCAGGTGTTGCATACATACATACATACGTACATACATACATATATACATATGTGTTTTCTCTCTCATTAGAATATAAGCTTCTTGCAAGTAGGGATTGTTTCATTCTTTATAGTTTTATCTATAGCACCTAATACAGTGTCTGGCATGTAGGAAGTGCTTAATAAATGTTTACTGTTTGACTAATTGACTCTCCACTACTCCAAGCTTCTATCTGTTGGGAGAATGAATGAATGGCCTTTCCTGCACCACTTTGTCAGACCTGTTATTTGAATTAGGGATTCGATATTCCCACCTTGCCTGAGCATGGTGACTTTAATCTGTTCTTTGGCCCTAAACACTGACTCTCTAGCACTGAACACTCTATTTCAGGGAGTAGCACAGACCAGAGACTAGACAGAGGCAGGCATTCAGTTCCCCTCCTCTTCCCATAATTCCTCACATATTAATCCTTAGAACATTTTTTTTTGCCTCTTAGCATTCTCCTTCTTTCTGTCTCTTATAAGTTAATACCAGACAATTTAATAAAACTAGACCCCAAACAGGTCCCTCCCTGATCACCACTGTCAGGCCCTCCCTCCCAAAGACTGGCTAAATCTGGGTAAATGAGTCACCTAACATGGCCAAAGAGTTCTAACAGCTCATTTCTCAGGAACTGAAAAACCTCTTTTAAAAATTGGGGCGGAGGAGGAGGGGGAGAATGAGGGAGAGAAAGAGTTTACAATGATTTTTTTTTTTACCTCCCCTGACGGTCTACAGAAAACCTCTGTGCTTTTATTTTTGCTCACTCGAGTGGTTCTGACCTGCTCTATAATTACGTTACTTTCTACCCACTGTGCTGCGGCATTTCGAGCCTCCACTACCTCTGGCGGCTTCCTCGCTGGTCCCTGTGACGCTGTCACTCAACGGCTTTCAAATCAGCGATGTAGAAATCAGAAAGAAAAGGAAAATGGTCGGAGACACAGTGAGAATAAATGCTCCTGCTTTTCTCTCTTTTTTTCCCTCCCTTTCCTTTTTACCTTATTCATTTAATCTCCCTGAGTGAGAATGCGAGGCATAATGAAGGGTTGGACAGATTATTAGAAGCTGTTGATTTAGAGGGGGAGGGAAGAAAAAGCCAGAAAGAGAAAGAGAGAAGATAATTTGACATTTACCCTGACTGATCTAAACTGATTCGGTTATATTTATGGCTTATAAAGTGTTTAGAAAGATTGAAGGGGGGGAAAAACCCAACACGGTGAAGAAAAGGGAAAGAAAAAAAAATATTGACTGCAAAACAAAACTCGTGCTTTAATTCCCAACTTGCCTTCAAGGAGGCAATAGCTCTGAGTTAAGCCAGGACTCAAGCAGTAGCCTAACCCTGACTTAGCCAGAAGGAATGGGCTGTATGTGAGTCCTTAGGCAAGCCTGGAGGGGGATCTTGGAGCTTCAAGATGCAGAGAAGAGACCAGTGTGGGGTTAAAATTTTCTTCCACATTTATATGTTTGCATATGTACAGCTATATAAAAGGTTCAACATGGGATGGCTTCCTTTGCCTCTTGTCAATCCCAAGCAAAGAAGCTTGAAGATTGTTGTTTAACAGGTGGGGATGTCTATTATATCTGGGGGGTTCCATCCTTAGCCTTCTCCTCCAAGGTCAGACCTCTGGGACAGTCCCCAGGAATGGGTGAGATTGGGGGCAGCAATCTCTTGTAGGGGAGAGTTTGGCTCCAAAGTCTTTTATTGGGTTCTGTCTCTACTACCCAGTCCCTCGTGGGCTTTTGAAAGGTAAAGGGCTTCAGAAAAATGAGCAAATCTTCCTACTCCAAGGTGGGGGAAAAAAGTGATTCCAATATGGAGAGATACAAAAGAAGTAGAGAAAAATTTAAGCCCAGAGTGAGATGGACCACAATGGAGAAACCAAGGTAGAAGCCTCCAGTTACAGGAACAAAGACTACAATGGAGTTCACAGTCACTCAGAGAACAGTCAATCAGGAGAGAAAATGGAGCTGAGACTTCTGGTGATTGGATGTTACCTTGAACTTGAATCCTGGCAGCCCAAGGATTGGAGGTGAGTATATCATAAGGGAGTGGCTTTCTTTTGTTCAGAAAGCAGAGAATAGGGAAGAGGGAGGGGTAGGGCAGGGATCAGAATGGAGGTTGCCCATCTGCCCACTACTTACCTCACCAGCTCTTCGTTGTACAGTGATTGGGGAGATTCTCGGCCAAGGATGTAGACCTGGCCCTTGAAGACAGACACCTGGACCTTGCCCTCAACCCCTTCCTGGGACTTGGCAATGCAGTGGCGGATAAACTCACACTCCGGACTGTGCCAGAAACCTGGAAGGGGTGAAATGAAGGGGTATACCGCTCAGCTTTGGTCAGGATGCCACATCCCCTGAGCCCCACTGTTCATCCTCCCAGCTCTGTCCAAGGGGAAGGCCTGGATGGTCCCCCAGCTCAAGAGATGGAACCTACCAGGATTTTCCATGCATTCTCTGCGAGGAATTGTCACTTTAATGAGTCTCATTCCTTCTCCAAATGGTAGAGACTAGGTGTTGGCCTTAATATCCCTTCTTACCATCTCTTATCTACTCACAGACATCAGATGGAGGTGGGTGGGGAATGGTAGGGGGAGAGGCAAAATGGACAGAGCAAAGCTGATATATGAAAAAGTACTAAAATAAAACAACTGCAAAACATTATACCCATGTTAAAGATTGCCCTGAATCTCCATAATTAGTGTGAGTTTGTGGTAATACCTGTTTCCACTGATTATTCCATACCTTTTTGTCAGACATCCATGGTAGGTTCAGCCCTTCGCTGGGTACTATGGAAGAGACTGAAAATATGGTCTTCTATTGCTATTAAGGCCCCATCTGAATGAGGAGAGACCACTTCCATGCAGCCGCCAACGAAAGGACAAGTAAGTGCCAGGCTAGGTTACTGGCTTGAGAAAGACCAGGAGTCAGGGAGGAAGCCGAAGAAATGGAGATGGGCCGAACTAGCCTGGGGAGGCTTCCAAGAAAGGTAGGACAGGAGTTAGAGAAGAAGGGGCCTAGAAGGCATTCTAGATAGGAGGAACAGTACAAGGAAATAAATACCGGAAACTAGAACGAGCACAGAGTGTACAAGGACAGTGAGAAATCACAGAATTGTGATTCTGGAAGGGCATGTCAGAAGTCAGGTGGTTTAATCTCTAACTGGAGAAGGAACTCCTACAACATCCCTGACAGCCTCTGCTTTAAGGCCATCCAGGGACCAAGAACTCAATAATAATAATAACAACAACAACTTTTATATAGCACTTACCAGGCACTGTGCTAAATGCTTTACAGTCATCTCATTTGAGCCTCACAATAATTCTGGAAGGTACGTGCTATTATTATCCTCATTTTACAGATGAGGAAACTGAGGCAAACAAAGGTTAAGTGACTTGCCCAGGGTCACACTGCCAGTAAGCATCTGAGGCTGGATTTGAACTCAGGTCTTCCTAACTCCAGGCCTGGCTTTCTAGCCATTGAGCCACCTTGCAGCACACTGGCTACTTAGTCTACATTCCATATTTGTGCAGCTCTAATTAAATTCTTTTTTTTGTTGAGCTGAAATTGACTTTTTTGGGACTTCATCTCATTGGTCCTAGTTCCACCTTTTGGGGCTAAGGAAAGCATATCTACCTGAAGACCAGCCTGCAGAAGGTTTGGAGAGGTCAATGATGAGAAATGACAGGGACCAGCCTGTGGGAGTAGGGAGCAGTCAGAGGGCCTTAAATGTCAGGAGTCTGGGCTTATGTGGCAGGCTGGAGTGCCAGAGGTATCTGTTTATGACACTGACAGCCTCGCTGACTTTACTTGCATAAGGAAAGCCTGGGTTCAAATCTCTGACTCTCATTAATTATGGGACCTTGGACCAATCGCTTCACTTCTAGGCCCCAGTTTCCTCATCTGTCAAATGGGAGGAAGTTCTTGATCTGTCATCTCATTAACCTTGCCTCCTGCAGAGGCTTCTCTCTACTTCAACACTTTCCTGTTAGTATTAGTGGGAGAAGAGGAGAGGGGAGAAGGAGAGAGAAGAGAAGTAAGTAAACAAGAGGAAAGAAGGAAGAGGGGAAAAAGGAAGGAGATGAGGAGATAAATGAAGAGAATGCAGGACAGGAGAGGAGAAAATTTCCAGGCTGGGTGAAGAATCAGCTTTGGCTCTTTTCTCAGAGAACCATTCATTTCAGGAAAAAGCCCCCAGCCCTTCATCCTAAGCCCCAGGAGTCCTCAGTGCTGAACAAGAGCTCAGGGGCCAGGGAGCTGACCTGGGGCCTTTATCAGAGCAGGAGATCAGGCTCCATATGGCCCAGCAGCCTCTCAGGTGGGCTCACCTTCCTCACTCCTTTATAAAGTAACCTTATTCTGGCAAGGCCATCTCCACTTTCTTCCTGTCTCTCTCAGCAGGCTTCATGGAGAGATGTGACAGGCACATCTGTCTGTCTGAGCTCCCATTGTCATCAGGGCCTTGGTCTGTGCTGTGGTCTTCCCCTCTATGATCCCCCATCCAAGGGGTGATTTCATTCCTGCTCCCCTGAATAGAATTTTCTCAAACTGATAAGTTTCAGTTTACTTTACAGTCACAGAGGGACTTGTGAGGGACTTCAGGAGAAGCAGGGGTGGGGTTGGGGGGACCTGAGCAGCAAAATCAGGGGGCACAAAAGCCCTATTCCCGTGGCTTTTCTCTACTGACCCTGATGGGTTATTCTGGGGAAATCACAAGATTTATACTTTTATTGCATTTCCCTTACAACAATAATAAGATTTACAGCTCAATAGTACTTCCCTTCCTGTGAGGTAGGAAGGGTAAGTTGAGTGGGAGGCCATGCCCAAGCCAGCACCCTGACTTTCACTGAATTTTGGGAGCAGGTGCCTGGAAATTAGGGGCTGAGAAGCTCATAGAATCACAGAATGGTAGGACACAGAATATGGGCCTTAAAAATCATCTAGTCCTGGGGTCCACGGGCCAAATCTGACCTGCTGCCTGTTTTTGCACAGCCCATGAGCTAAGAACAGTTTTTACATTTTAAATTATAACTTCATTTACAATATGAGTTTAATGCAACTTGATTTTAAACTGTAAGTAATTCCTAGCTTGGGGCCATACAAAACCAGGCAGCAGGCAGGATTTGACTTGGGGGCCATAGCTTGCCAACCCCCAATCTAGCCTAATACATATTTTATAGATGTGGAAACCTGTTGTCCCAGAAAAATAAAGTGACCTGACCAGAATCGAGGTCTTGTAATTTCCATTCAGATTCTCTTCCTATCACTCCACAATAACTCTATGGGAGTAGGCAAATAAGTCAGATCCCACTGGCCCACTCACCCCAAAACACCCAAGACGGAGGGCCAGGACTACATTGGAGGGGACTCCTGGCCTTCCTGGGAGCAGGCCTTTAACTAAATAAAGGTAGTTAGCCCATTAAGTTTCCAGACCTGGAAGAAAGGCAGAGAGATGAACACAGGAAATAGAGGGGCAAGGAGAAAGAGATTGTCTTTAAGCATTTGCAGTGGGCACTGGCCTCATATTTATCTCTCTGATCTCTCCCAGGCAGGTGTCATCCTAAAGCCCAGCTGGGAAGAGAGAAGCTAAGAGGGGTTGCTAGGGGAGAAAGAGCAGGTGGGGGGGATGGGAGGAGATTGGACATTGGATTATTCAGAGAAGGCTAGGGAATCTAGAAGGACATGGCCGACTAAACAGCCTACAGTTATTGAAATTATTTGCATTGTTTTTCATCTTAAAGCTTGTTTAGACTGACTCATAGCTACGGAGGTACCCCAGCACCGATGAACACAGATAAGTCTCCTCTTGCAAGTGAATAACAAAAACATTTTATCACTCAGTGAATTTCAGCTTTTTGAGGGGAGCTGACTCCCCATCCCTTGGTCACTTCTCTTATCAAAGTCTAAAAGTGATGAAGCAGAGGAAAGGAGACCGTTTCCGTGATTGGCGACTGCCGCTTGACAGGGGAGTCTTGGTGGACCCCAATACAATAAGCCCATCAGTGACCAATCCTTCCATTAACAGGGCAGACAAATATAGGCAGAGCTAGTGGAGTAGTCCTGGGTCCTGAGCCTGTGGAACTAGGGGCAGGGAGGACTTGTTTAGCTTTTTGCTAAGCAGAATCTCAGTTTCCCCATTTGTAAAATGGGGGTCCTCCTACGATGAATGGCAGGATGAGATATTTGAATTCATAGAAATAAGAATGACTCAAAACCCAGAACCATGGAATGTCAGAGCTTTGGAAGACTGCATAGCATATCAGGAAGAACACTAGATTTGGCTTCAGAACAACTGAGTTTAAATCCCGGTTCTGACACTAACTGTATGAACTGGGATTATTCACCCATCTCTCGAGGCTTCTGTTTTCTCATCGCAAAATGAAAGGGTGAAACAATTCATTTTAAGGTCTCTTTCAATTCTAAAGCCTATGTATAGAGTCTTAGAGACCCTAGTTATCTGTGACCTCGAATTAAGAGCTGGACAGAAACTTAGAGGTTCTAGGCCAACCTTTTTTTTTTCTTACAGATGAGGAAACTGAGGCCTGGAGATAAATTACTTCCTCAAGGTCAGTGAGTCAGAGCCAGAGCTAGGGCTAGGTTTCCTGATGCCCCGTTCTTTCTATTACCCTCACGAAGCTCTCTCTGATCACCAAGCATCTGTTATTTTACGAGTAAGGAAGGACTGTCTGCTTCACTCCCTAGCTTCAAGAAGACAGGGAGAAGACCCCAGACACTGGGGTTGCTGAGGTCCAGCTGGAGCTGCCACTCAGATTTAAATGAGCCCCTTCTAACTCACTGTTCCCAAATTAAAAAACCCACTGAATGATTTCCCCTCCTAACTTCTCAGATGGAAGGAGGTTGGGAGGGGGAGATCAGAGAGGGAAGGAAGTCAGGAGGATCCACGCCTACCTCCTTCCAAACTCTTTCAGCAGCTTCTCAAACTCCAGGTGCTCCCGCCCCCAATTCCTGCTCCCTACTCCCCACCAATTGCCTTAATGACGCTCCCACTTTGTAACCAAAATCCACCTTTCAACATTTAAATCCCATGGAGCAAACGAGGTTGGTGGGAGACAATGGCATTTAAACACCTGGCCCATACCTGGGAGGAGGGGGGGCCAAGGCAGGGGAGTGCTTGGCTTCAAAGCTGCCTTCAAACAATGAGGAGAAAATAAACCCAACTAGCAATCTCTAATCTCCTTAAACTCTGAGACAAGTTACAATGATTATGTGGTTTTAAAAGAAAACAAAAATGGAGAGAAAGAAGAGATGCTAGAAACAAGCTCTCTCTCTCTTTCTATTGATTATACCTTGGTTGTGACAGGGAAAGGCTTTCTGCAGCCCTAAAAGCATCGGCAACGTCCTCCCACTGACCTTCCTTTCTGGTCTAGGACTCAGTTCCTGCCTCCCTGAGATACCAAAGGGTTTTTTGGATAATGTCGGCTTCTCAGCTTAGGGATGTACCCACACATCCTGGATCACAGAACTGTAGAATATCAGGGCTGGAGGAGACTTTAGTTTCCATCTAATCCAATCCCTGCATTTTACTGGTGAGGAAACTGAGGCAAACAGAAGGGAAATGAGGTCACACTAAAGTTAATTTGCTTCTGTAATGTACTTTGGAACCTTTACCCATGAACTTACCTAAACCTTTTGGAACCAAGTTTTGATTGAACTTTGTGTTTTCTTTTGCCCAGAAGCATGATGTAATGGAAAGTACTCAACACTGTGGGTCAGGAGACCTGAGTTCAAATACACCTGTGTGAGTTTGAGAGGGTTCCATACCCTGAGACTGTTTCTCCTCTATAAAATGAGAAGGGAAATATGATCTTTAAGGTCCTTTCCAGCCCTAATATTCTATGGCTGATGGTCTACCATTCTACGTTCTAAAATCTCTCCCAGATCTAATATTCTGTATTCTAAAGGTTCCTTTCAGTTATGATAATCATGGTTCTAATGTTCTAATCTCTTGGGATACAATTTTTTTTATTCTGATCCTGCTCATTTATTATTCACATTAGGAAAGATTATAGAAGTATTATGCCATCCCATCCATTTTGTATTTCCTACAGAGGAACAGGAGCTGAGCTGTGGGCAGGAGGCAGAGAAATCCAGAGTTATAGAAAGTTGCTAGTATTTCTGAATCTTGATATAATTCATTCAGGATTCACATATGCATCTTGGGGTATAATTTCTATATGTTTATTCCTTAGTGTATGGGGGGATGCCATTTTTTTTCAAACTCCTCAAACCCTTTCTTCCCACTCAGTTTTAATATTCTAGGCCCTGGGGAAGGGCAGAGGCCAAGCTCCCTCCCCTCTGTCTCCCACTCTTTCCAAGATACCTTACTCTCTCCCATATCCCACCTACCCAACCTTTCCAACTCCCATTTGATAAGAATCAAGATTCTTGAACCCAAATGGAGGCTCCAGAGGCATGAGCTGCCCCAACTTGGAGCAGGGATATGAATGCCAAATCGGAAGAATCTTACCCCAACCTGATATCTAAAGGAATTAGTGGTGCTCTCCTCCCCCCTTTCCCTTACCTGAAAGCTAATCCCAAGAATTCTAGATCTGGATCTCAGGTATCATCCTGTCTCACCCATTGATTTAAAGAGGAAAACTGAGGCCCAAAGAAGAAACATGACTTATCCAAAATGACTCAACAAATTAGTGACAAACCTGAGGCGTGAGCCCAGTCTTTCCGCTGAACTAAACTGTCACCTCTATTTCTAAACATCCCAAAATGCCCACAGCTCTCAACCAAGAATCCTCATCCCCCCCTACCCAGCTAAAACACCTTCAAACAAGTGGTCAGGTGTGAGGGGGGCTGGGAGGAGTCAGGAGGTAGGCCCCTGTAAGGAAGTTCGCCATTTTGGTTGAATGAAGTCCAAAGTGGGGGGAGAATGGAGGAGGACGGCATACGCACCATTGTACACCAATTCGGAGAATTTCAAGCCTAGGCCCTGTTTGATTTTACGCACTTCTCGATCCATGGTGAAAGCCTCAATGTCTAAATGAGCATGGTAGAGGATTGTTCCCGCTGGGGTCTCGTAGATACCTAGCCATTTTTCCAGGCAGGGGGAAAAAGAGAAAAAAGACACAAATGCATGAAACCCAAACTGTCAGCAAATGACAAAAAAAATAATGACTTCTCTGACAAGAGAAACGCCAGTCGGACCCATTCACTCCCAGCTTGTTGCAAAATGCATCTGTCATTATACTCATGCTGGGGCCAAGACAGTCCACTCCGCACCTTGTGGAGAAAATGTCTAGATTTTCCTCTTTGAAGGGGCTCTCTGACGATGCTAAATGACAGGGTTTTGGAGCAGTCCCCCTTTACTCCCCCCAAAGCATGCCCACCGGTCTACAGCTGAAAACCTGTAATTAAATGAGTGATGGTGGAGCATGGGCCCATGGATACAGGGCCCCAAATATCCCTTCCTTCCCCTCTGCCAGTGAAAAGGAGACGGGGACGGGCAGGAGAAAATACATAGATATAAATGCACATAATGTGCATGTTGTTTTTCAGTCGTTTCAGTCATGTTGGACCCTTAGTGACCTTACTTGGAGTTTTCATACTGGAGTGGTTTGCCATTTCCTTCTCCATCTCATTTACAGGGAAACAGGGTTAAGTGACTTGCCCAGGGTCACACAGCTAGTAAGTGTCTGAGACTGGATTTGAATTCATGAAGATGAGTCTTCCTGATTCCAAGACCAGTGCTCTATTCACTGAACCACCTGGCTGCCTTTCAATTCATATATACATATATGCTTACACACACACACACACACACACACACACACACATATAATGTGTGTATGTGTATCTATATCTATTTATCTATCTCTACATACATTAACTCATCAGTTGATGGGTGGCATAGTGGATAGAATACTGCATGTGAGTTCAAATCTTGTCTCAAACATTTATAAGCTGTGTGATCCTGAGCAAGTCACTTAACCTTTCTCAGCCTCAGTTTCCACACCTGTAAAATGGGGATAAGAACAGTCTCTTCCTCACAAGGTTAAAGGATCAAATGAAATAACACATGCAAAGTGCTTTACGAACTTTAAAGCATCATGAAAACATCAGCTATTATGAGGAGGAGGGCAGGGGATGAACTCAATCCTGGCTTCTGTTAAAGCTAACATACCCCCGTTTCCCTCCTCAGCTCTTCAGCAAATCACAAAATGTAAGAACTAGCAATGGCCCTTAAAGGGCATCGTGTCTGACTTCATTTACAGATGAGGAAACTGAGGCCCAGAGAAGGGACTTGCTCAATGTCACAGAGCCAGGCTACTGTTCCTTCTACCTCACAACACTGCCTCTCGTGGCTTTTGTCCAAAAGTAATAAAATTCTGATGTAGGTATAATAGTGTATGTAACAATACCTTGAAAAGTAGGAGACAGTACAACCTTGAGAAAAGAGGATGTTGTTATATTAACAATAATAACGACACCGACAATAATAGTAGATTTATATAGCACTGGGCTAATGTTCTAAGATTATGGGCAAGTCACTGTCCTTCTTAGGGCCTCTGTTACGTGAACTATAAAATGGAAATTATTTTTTTTACCTACCTCAGAATTTCTGTCAGAAACAAATGAAAGAATGGATTGTAGAGAAAAAGTGCCCCCCACAAAGTATAAAGAGCTATAAACTACAAAGTACTGCCATTACTACATTTTTAAAACCTTGATCCATCTGATAGTATGAGCCCTGCTAACAGGTGTTGTTGACCAACTAAGTGACAATTTTTGACTGCTGGGAAGGAAATCTAATGATAATGACGAAGTATGGTGAATTGTAACTGCAATGGCTTAAAAATTGATATGAATATGGCATAAACTCATTTGAAACTATGGATATCATCTGAGAACTGGGTTTGAATCCTACTTCTGACATTTACTAGCTGTGTGACCATGGGCAAATCATTTAACCTTTCTACACCTCAGTTACCTAATCTATAAAATGGGGAAAATAATACCTCTAATAGCTACTCCACGGGGTTTTTATGAGAATCAAACTCATTAATGTATATAAAATGCTTTGCCCAACTCTAAAGGACTATATAAATATCAGCTATTGTGAATAATAGCAATAATAGTATGTTATTATGTAGCATATATAATAAGTCTATTTAAAGTATATGATAAGTGCACAAGACTCAGGCTTTTCCAATTCTTCAGGGAAAATGCCTATCCCATGGGGGTCTGGGCTGAATTTCTGGACTCTGCCAACCTGTACTAGCTATACGAATCACAGCATCACAGAGCTGGAAGAGACCTTAGATATCAATATTGTGACCCTTCATTCTACAGATGAGGAAACTGAGGCCCAGAAAGGGGAAATAACTCAAGGTGATCAAGTTAATGCCAAAACTAGGACTAGAACTCAGGTCTCCTGACTCTGAATTCAGGGCTTTTTCTACTATAACTATGATCTCTCTTCTCCTTGCTGTCAGAGCTACAGACCAATCCCCAGCAGCTGAGAAGTTCCAATAGTCAGGATGCTGAGTTCTCAGGCCTAACCTCAGGGCTCACAGCCAGAAAACAGAAAAACCATAAACTCCCATCTGAAATCTTCAACTTTTTATTTTCTTCCTGTGACTAAAGATTCTCAAGCCATGTCCACATGCTCTTCCAATGGGCCAGAAAGGTCAGGGTAGGGGCAAGATCAACCTTGTTTCCTAAGTGGGGAAAAGGGAGACACAGACAAAGGAAATTTCTTGCCCAGGTTTCCCAACAGCTGGAGGTAGAAGACTGGCAGAGGCCTCAAGGCTAGCCCCCCCTAGAAGGAACCCTCACCCACCAGAGGGACTATGGCCAGCGGGCAGTATTGGGAAGGGAGAGGGCTGGCAGCTGCGAAGGCCTGCAGAAACTGTCGCCAGAAGTAGATGTCTACTGCACCCTTTCCTAGTAGCAGGGCATTTGAGGGAAAATTCAAAAGGGGAGAAAAGTCAGCTACAAAACACATCAACACAATTAATATTCATACTCCTTTCCTTAGAAGGTGTTAAAGTTAATTGTGACTGATCAAAAAGCTTGTTTTTGGAGCTGCTGCTTCTGTATGTGTGTGTGTGTGTGTGTGTGCATGCGTGCACACATTAAAAAGAAAAAAAGATCTCCCCTCTGTTCTCCACAGGGGGTAGGTTGCAGATGATTTCTCTGTGTTTCTTCTGGAGAAAAAAATAATAAATTTTAAAAAAATCCATGACAGAAACCTAATGCTAAGAGACTATAGATTTGGGGCTTTTGACAGTCAGCGTATGAACCACTGCGCAAAAGGAAGAAGGAGATGACAGCTGAACCTCTGGTGTCGCCGTGGAGGAGACAACAGACATCTTCAAAGTGACATTCGAAGAGTCTCCAAGTGTCTATTTTCATCTCTCCGTGTTTACAGGAAAAAGACAGGGGTGTCAGCATTTGTGACTAGAGGGCCTTCAATCACACCATAATTACGGTGGAGGAGGGGAGCTGGGGGGGAGGGGAGGAGGAGAGTGGACTGGGAAAGAGTGGGGATACAGACAGCTGTTTCTGCTTAAAATGTCCTCATTTGTAACTGCTACTGCCAGTTTAGCTCCAATTGAGCAATTTCCTTGTATTGACTAGGATCTGTCCATTCAACTGGGGGTTGGTAGTTTGGGCTTCCATGCCAGAACCAGGAGCTCCCACTTTCACCCCGCCATCCTGTGGTGGCCTGGAGCTATGGTAAAACAAATTCCAAACGCTGGTTCTAGCGGGGGAGGCTGAGTTTTCTGGAGGAGAAATGTTCCCCCTTTGTATCTCCCCTATCCCCACTTGAGCAGCCAGGCAGAGCATGAAAAAGCATGGCCAGCAACGATCAAGGGGTGAGGAAGAGAGGCAGAGGTGTGACTCTCTGGGGAGGGAAGAGTGAGAGGGGGCCTGGAGTGGGAGGGGCAGAGGGCTCCTCCTAGAAGTTGGGGAGAATGAATTTGGATCCGGGTTCACACCAAGATTCAGTTCTAGGGGATTTTTCTGGCTGAATGAAGGCCAAGTCTAGGCCCCTCGGACATATTCCTTACTTTATAGCCCTCCTCTATGTTCCCCACTTTGATTCAAGCAACCTCAGTCACAAGAGCCACAGAAGAATCTAAGACTCAAAGGGTAACACAGGCTGAAGAAAGTTGTAAGTGTAAGTGTGTGTGTGTGTCTGTCTGTCTGTCTGTGTGTCAGGGTGTGTGTGTGTGTGTGTGATTGTTCTGGGAGGAATCAGCACTGCCTTATGGTAAAGGGAGAGTGAGTGATGGGGAAGGAGCCTCTGAGTCAGAGGAATGAAGGGATCAAAAGAGAAAGCTGGAAATCCCAGATGAGAGAGTACCAAGTGGGAGAAGAGGGAGCAGGAGAACAGAGAACGTCAGGGAAGGCAGAACTGGAGAAAGAGAAGGATTTCAAAGAGAAAGAGAGGGAGGTGGAAGGAAGAAGGAAGGACAAAGTAAGGCAAGCAGAAGCAGGAGAGAACACTCTCCCCCGTCTCTTCTTTTCCCCCCACTGATTTCATTTACTCCACTTAATTAGCCCCCCTCCGGAGTTAAAAAGATAATTTGATAATGAGGATGTGAAAAGACACAATATTCAGGAAAGCAACTCCATTTGCAACCTTCTGTGCCTCTGCCGGCCCAGCCAAGTGAGCCCTGAGCTCACTGTCACCAGCAGCCCCACAGTCAGGGGTACCCCCAGCAACCCACTGACCCCACTCTGAACCTTCGGGCAAGAAAAAGCCCAGCCCCTGAGACCACTAGTTCCCCAAGCAGAGCCTGAGACAAGCCCACTAGCCAGCCCCTCCCTCCTGCCTCCCGGACATCAGTCTTTAATGAATTTTCAATTACAAGCCTTGTAAAATCAATACAAATGAATTTTTTTTTCCATGTTAGGTTCTGGACAATAGCTTCATCCAGACACTGCCCTCAGTGTAACTGATGATTAACCAGTTTCTCTCATTACCTTACACTTAATAAAAGCCTCTTCACGGCCGGAATCAGGAACAGCCACATTAATTTATGGTCTTTCTAGTTCATCAGCTAATCAGCTAGCTT